TGACATCCATTCATGGGCTACCCAGTCTATTCACTCCACAGCTCTCTACCTGTGACATCCATTCATGGGATACCCAGTCTATTCACTCCACAGCTCTCTACCTGTGACATCCATTCATGGGCTACCTAGTCTATTCACTCCACAGCTCTCTACCTGTGACACCCATTCATGGGCTACCCAGTCTATTCACTCCACAGCTCTCTACCTGTGACATCCATTCATGGGCTACCCAGTCTATTCACTCCTCAGCTCTCTACCTGTGACATCCATTCATGGGCTACCCAGTCTATTCACTCCACAGCTCTCTACCTGTGACATCAATTCATGGGCTACCCAGTCCATTCACTCCGCAGCTCTCTACCTGTGACATCCATTCATGGGCTACCCAGTCTATTCACTCCACAGCTCTCTACCTATGACATCAATTCATGGGCTACCCAGTCCATTCACTCCACAGCTCTCTACCTGTGACATCCATTCATGGGCTACCCAGTCCATTCACTCCGCAGCTCTCTACCTGTGACATCAATTCATGGGCTACCCAGTCCATTCACTCCACAGCTCTCTACCTGTGACATCCATTCATGGGCTACCCAGTCCATTCACTCCGCAGCTCTCTACCTGTGACATCCATTCATGGGCTACCCAGTCCATTCACTCCGCAGCTCTCTACCTGTGACATCAATTCATGGGCTACCCAGTCCATTCACTCCACAGCTCTCTATCTGTGACATCCATTCATGGGCTACCCAGTCCATTCACTCCACAGCTCTCTACCTGTGACATCCATTCATGGGCTACCCAGTCCATTCACCCCACAGCTCTCTACCTGTGACATCCATTCATTGGCTACCCAGTCTATTCACTCCACAGCTCTCTACCTGTAACATCCATTCATGGGCTACCCAGTCTATTCACTCCACAGCTCTCTACCTGTGACATCCATTCATGGGCTACCCAGTCTATTCACTCCACAGCTCTCTACCTGTGAAATCCGATATTGGGCTTGCATCACTGAACTGGCCTGTTGTTCAATTGCCGCTGTAAATATCATCATCATGTGTCTTACCGACCATTCGACATGCGCTATAATCATACTGTATCTTATCTAATTAATGCAACATAACTTAAGGTACTCACAAACCATCCAGCAATGTTTCGTGCATTATCTGCCACAGGTCACAAAGCTTGCATAGGTCTGCCATGTCTCCAAACCAGTGACATCTCACAAGCAAGACTTCGCTTCTATTGCACTGTTCTCTCGTCAGAGAGTTTTTCCCGCCTGCCCTTACACAGAACACATCCTCATCTAACCAGACCAAGTCGGTCTTAGTTCATTAAACTGTATTTCCCGCCAAAGAGGGGTTTCCAGGCCATTTTGCAATATTGGATGGGAAAACCCCAGGAAATCTAGTGTATCTTTATTCGTTGTCCCTTCGGTCCTGCCTTTATAAATTTATGACTGGGATCCAACCTTAGCATTTCTTTGTAAGTTTTACCTCCACGTTAGCCCGTTAGATCAATTCTATGAGGACCTGGGTGATGAAATTTGTAAGATAGATAATAACGAGAAACTGTTCGTGATGAGTTATTTTAACGGTAAGACAGGACGAGACAGAAGAACATTTACAAGATACCTAGGCAATTATGGAGACAACAACATTAGAAATGAAAATGGCGAAAGACTGTTGGATATATGTTATTACCAACACCTTCTTTCAACACAGAGCTTCATAAATTTTCACATGGTATAAATGGAATGATCCAGATACCAAGAGTCAGATTGATAACATCTTGACGAGAAAAAAGAGACTTTCATGAAGTTACAGATTCGAAAGTTATATCAAACTTGAGTTTAGATCCAGATCATAGGATGGTGATACTTGACAGAAAAGTCAAGATAAGTTATCAACAAAGAAGAAATGTAATAAAAGTGATATAATAAAATGGAAAGAATTAGAGTGTGAGGAAAACAGGCGAGCGTTTCAGCAAAAATTACAGGAAAATTATAAACAGCTTCCACAAAACACACTTGGGGTAAATACAGAATGGTTGAATTTCAGAGACACCACTATGAAAGTAGCACAAGAAATATGTGAAACTGAAAGGAAAGGTAACATAGGACGCAAGCTCTCAACATGGTGGTCTAAAAAAATAAGAAGAATTGTGAGCAATAAAAAGAAAGCTTATGGCATTTGGCTGAGGAGCAGAACAGAAGAGGATTACATAACATACAAGATAATTAGAAGAGAAGTAAATAGAACTATCAGACAAGCAAAAAGAGGTTCATGGGAAAAGTTTGGAAACAAACTGACTGAAGAAGAAAGAACAGCAGTGAAAAACTACTTTAGAAAAAATCAAAGGCATGAGAAACAGGAATGAAGAATACAGCCAAACAGAAATTATAAATGATGAAGTTAGCCAACCTTTAATAGAACCTACCAAAATTTTAGCTAGGTGGAGTAATTACTTTGAAGCATTACTTAGCTGCAATAAATCAGATGAAAGCAGGGAAGAACATAAAAACAACTCGGAACTAACGGCAGAGGAACTAGAACCAGCTATATTGTTGGATGAAGTAAAATATGTCATTCGAACCGCCCTAGACTAAAGACAACAGGTATTGATGATCTACCAGCTGAGGCCATCAAGGCAGCAGGAGAAACGCGAGCAATATGGTTAAAGAGAATATTTCAGGTGGCATGGGAAAATCAAGAAACACCATCAGATTGGCAGACTGCTGTCATTGTCCCGCTATGGAAAAATAAAGGAAGTAAGAGGGAATGTACTAATTACAGAGGAATATCCCTTCTCAGTCAAACTGGGAAAATGTATGCTAAGATCATCGAAAGAAGGCTGAGACCATAGATAGAGTATCAACTTTCAGTAGCACATATGGGCTTTCGACGAAACAGAAGTTGCACAGATGCCATTCATACATTGAGACAACTATCAGAAAGGGCAATAGAACATGAAAAGACATGTTTGTTGACATTCATAGACCAAGAAAAAGCCTTTGATAGAGTCGACAGGAATATGTTGTGGGAATGGATGGGGGAAAGGGGAATCAGCAATCATCTCATTATTATTTGCAAAAGCCTGTACAAACGTAGTAAATGCTGCATAAGATCGAAGGCAGGGTTGTCAAGAACTTTTATAGTGAACTCTGGTGTGCGTCAGGGTTGTGTACTATCGCCGCTTCTTTTTATAACATACATGGATACCATATGAAGCGAAACGAACTTTAATCAGGAAGAAGATATTACAGAATTACTATTCGCCGACGACTAGGTACTCATAGCAGAAAATACGGAAAGCCTACAGAACCACCTAAATCAAATTAGTAACAAAGGGGAGGAATATAATATGAAAATAAACACTACGAAGACCGAGACAATGATGATATGAAGCCATAAAGACAATTTAGAAATAAAATTAAAAAAACAACTCCCTGAGACAAACAGAGGAATTCAAGTATTTGGGAGCAATTTTCACATCCGACGGAAAACTGGACAGAGAAATTAGCACCAGATGTGCCAAAGCTAATCAAGTAACGGGTCAACTATCTCCCCTGTTGACACACAAGCAGATACCTCGGAGTACTAAAGTGAATCTTATCAGAACTATTTTTTGGCCAACACTATGCTATCAATACCAAACGTGGACACTTACATCCTCCAATGAACGTAAAATTGTGACAACAGAGATGAAATGCCTTAGAAGAGCTGCAGGGGTTTCAATGAAAGACATACGAAATCATGAAATCAGACGAATGCTAGGAATAAAGCCAGCCTTACAGGTTATCAAAGAACAACAAATAAAGTGGTTTGGATACCTAACAAGAATGCCCTGGTACTATCTGCCACGGCGAGCCACACTAAAACGTTACAACGGGTATAGAGCGAGTGGAAAACCTCGGAAAATATGGAATGATGACATTAAGAACAGCCCTACAGAAATGAACATCAGTCTTAATAGTTCCCTTGACAGAGCTCATCAACGTTTCTTTGTTTCTTTGTTTCTTTCTTTGTTTCTTTGTTTCTTTGTTTCTTTGTTTCTTTCTTTCTTTCTTTCTTTCTTTCTTTCTTTCTTTCTTTCTCTTTCTTTCTTTCTTTTTTTTCTTTCTTTCTTTCTTTCTTTCTTTCTTTCTTTCTTTCTTTCTTTCTTTCTTTCTTTCTTTCTTTCTTTCTTTCTTTCTTTCTTTCTTTCTTTCTTTCTTTCTTTCTTTCTTTCTTTCTTTCTTTCTATTGTTCTTTCATACTTGCTTTCTTCATTTCTTTTCTTTCTTTCTTTTTTCTTTCTTTGGCCTCTTTGTTTTCATAATCAATCTGGTAAATTCATTGTTGTTTAATAATATTTCCTGATTTTTTTTCAATGTTTAAATATATTTATTTTGTCTGTCTGTCTGTCTGTCTGTCTGTCTGTCTGTCTGTCTGTCTGTCTGTCTGTCTGTCTGTCTGTCTGTCTGTCTGTCTGTCTGTCTGTCTGTCTGTCTGTCTGTCTGTCTGTCTGTCTGTCTGTCTGTCTGTCTGTCTGTCTGTCTGTCTGTCTGTCTGTCTGTCTGTCTGTCTGTCTGTCTGTCTGTCTGTCTGTCTGTCTGTCTGTCTGTCTGTCTGTCTGTCTTTCTGTTTGTCTGTCTGTACATCTGCCTGTCTGTCTGTCTGCCTGTCTCTAATTTCAAATTCTTTGTTTTAACATTGTTAATTTTTCTTCTTTTCTCTACTTCTTCACCTTCTACCCAAACGACGATACACAAGATGAAAACATCATTATTGTAACCAATATCTTCGTCCTCATTGCCAGCTCATTATCTTGAACATCATCATCATCACCACCACGCCCACTAACATCATCAGCATCACCACCACGCCTACCACCGTTATCACCATCATCACCACGCCTACCACCGTCATCACCATCATCAATATATCAATGAGAAAAACGGTGACGATAGTCGTTAGATGACAAAGTTTATGATAATGACGACGACGACGATGATGATGAAACTATCAGGTACCGATCCTTACTTACCCCAGAAATCACACAAACTCCTCGCTCTTGTGGTTCTTTTTCAGAATCTGCGAATTAATGAGATAGACGGCCTGCCTGACGAGAGGAACATCTCAGACGAAGACGGGAATTCCCTCAAAGTCGGGGTCCTGGATGGACGCCTGGTGCCTCCTTTTGGGGAGTCAAACTACAGGAAACTTCCAGACATACCCATCAGAGATGATGACGTCGTCCTTATAGGGTATCCTAAAGCAGGTGCCTAAAACTTGTCATATTTCTGAAATATATAGGCAGGTACAGTGGTCCCATTGGCGTAGTAGTTAGTGCTGGTGCCTCTTGTGGAAGTGGTACATGTTCAATCTTCAGAAGTTCTTCTCTACTTTTTCTGCTTCACTTCCTCTCTTACGGGAGTCGCCATGTGTTGGTGACTAGACGCCTGCCTACGAATCGGAAGGTCTTGGGTTCGCGTCCTGAGGGGGCCGAACATTTTTTTGAAAAAATGACTTTGACTCCCAGGTCGACCTAGCCTTGAAGGGGTACTAGGTGCAGTCCTGGAAAGTAAAGATGGCCTGCGTGATGCTGACCACATCTCAAGTGCTGACTGGTCTATCCCTATATACCCAATACACCTAAAGGCGTGGAAAAGGGAGCTTTACTTTTGACTTGACCTCCTCTCTCACCGCTTCCGGTGTCCAGCAAGATATGTTCTTCTTCTTGCACTTCACCGGCTGTAAACTCTGTCTGAAAGTTCTGGTTGTTCGGTCACTTCTGGATTTGAGTCTTGTTTCAGAACATGCATTTTGCGCGCTCAACCGTTTTACAGGGTTGGTCTATCTGTAAGCAGAACGTTGGTTTATTGCCTCTCATGAAGATGTATTCCGACGTCGAAGGAAGAAAGAGATACAAGGTTCTGCTTTTTGCTCTTTAGGCCGCCTCGACCAAAGACACATCGAACTGTTGTAGAGTTTCTCTGATGTTGTCTTTCCATGTTGTTTTTGGTCTACCTCGTGCTCTTCATCCATATCCTCTTTTGGCGCATGCCTTGTACAGGATGGCGTCCTGTGGCATGTTCTCTAAATGAGCAAACAATTTTATTTGCTGTCCGTTTATGTAATTTAGAACTAGTTCTATGCCCACGTTTTCTCTAATAACTTCACTTCTGACTTAATCTCTTCTTATCACGCCTCCAGTTTTTCTCAGACAGTTTCTCGAAGTTGCATTTTTTTTTTTTTAATAAGCTGTTACGACTGGGGTCGATCCGTTCTAAACTTGGCTACCATATGAAGTTCTAGGAATTATCTATGGAAGAAAAGCGACTATGAAGGAAACAGCTCTTCTCATTCCCTTAATCTCATGTTTAGTGACTAGGAATGTGACCTGTCTCCCCCCCCCCCTCCCCCCAAAAAACTCTACGTGAGTAATTTTACTAAATCCTTTACTGACTCCTGATCTACACAAGTGCCAGTTACTGAAAGCCTGTAATTTAATACATTTTACCACTGTGAAACATAAAGTTGCACCAGTTGACTCCCTCTGTACATTATCACCAAATGGAGCATAGGTCCACAGCCAGCTGGATCCACGTGGTCCTATACCTTTGCCGTTTGTGTAGTTCACCCTATGTCCACCCGATGTCCTTTCCCTTATCTTAATTTTTCCTCTCCTTGACCCTGCGGGCTTCAGTTAATGATATTTCACTTATATTGTTACTATATTTGTTTAGTTTTATTTGTGTGTATTTTGTTTACTGTATCTGCCTTATCCTATACCAGCATCTTTTTGTCATTAGGGAGACTGAGTGGTCTCGAGGTACGGTGTCCGCTTTGAGTGGATGTCCCGGGTTCAAGCCCCGGATAAGGCTGAGAATTTTTTTTCACGTAGACGTTTAGTAATTACTTCTGGTGTCTGGGAAGTAAGATCAGACGCCCGTGTGTATTCTTTTTGCACGTAAAAAATTTCTAGGCAGTTGAAAATCGAAAAGAGTAGCCTAACGTCGCTGCCCGTGCCAAATTTTGAGGTACAAAATCTAGCTAAAGTATTTCAGGATCCTCGCCTCTGTAACGGAGTTCTTGCACTGCGCTGAGATTCTTTAGACCCAGGCTTGAGTTAGAAGTAGAATGGAGCACTTATGGGATATCGTCCGTGTGGCATGATGTTGATCCGTCGAATAAACAAAAACCTAAACTTTTCGTCGCCTGTTAAATCACTTGAATTTATCTACCCTATGTGTCATATCCTATACCAGCATCTTTACTCACCTGTTGACTAGCTGGAATCTCTTTAGTTCTCTGCCAAAGCTCCATTTAATTGCTCCCATTCTGCGCAAGCACCAGTTACCGTATGTTTGCCTTGTAATGAAACTGCCAGTTCTCACGAAGTTACCATCCAATTTAGCATGATTTGGTTAGAGTTTGTCCTTAATTGTCCTTTTTAACAGCAAATGTCAGGAAAACCTGACCTATATAAACCATCATCAGATGCCAGAAGGCACTTATGCAAGCCAACGCCTTTTTTTGTCATCATCATCATTTGCACTTTGTGCTATTACATGTCATATAAGGCTCGCAGTCTATTCACACATCCCGTTCTATCCTAGTAACCTCTTCGATATCATGGATAGAATCTAGCCCAGTAGCTTTGGCCCCTCTTATCAACGTTAGTTTATTTTAAGTTCCAATATGTTTCCATGCCGAATTTTATAAAGACTAAGTAGAAGATGAAATGATAACATCAGAGAAACTCCACAACAGCGGCAGGATGTTTCTGTGTTTGAGGCAGCCAGAAGAGCGGCAACTATAACATTTATTGATCGAGGAAGTGAAGAAGAAGAAGAACCTAGACTACTGTTATTCTAAGTGAATTTAACACAGCAGTTAATGTAACTGTTGAATCTCATTACTATTTTAGTCCCAATTACACATAAAGTTACTAGCCTAGTTACTGTTTTAAACAAAGGTTATAAACAGCATATCCATACCCACAACTCTGCTACTAGTGCCAGGCTTGGACATTATCAAAGGCTAACATGCATAACATCAACACTTTTGAAATGAGAAGCCAACAACAACAACAACAACAACAACAACAACAACAACAACAAACAGTCAACCTAACCATCGGAGTCAAAGTTAGAAATGATTTTTTTATGTAGGAACAACACCAGGCAGCGAATTCACTGAGAAACAGAAGATCAAATGATTTGGTCATCTAGTAAGAATGCAGCCAGGGCAACTACCAACATAGACGCTACAAGTAAAAAGATCTGAAGTGAAAGCAAGAGGCCACCCTAGGAGAAAAATGGATTGATGACATTAAAGAACTTCTACAAGGACAATAGCTTTTGCTGCCTATCAAGCAATGGATCGCAAACTGTTCCTCTTCACAACACGTAACGGTGGATGTGGAAATTTGCAATTATGGTGATGACCATTTTCGCCAATAAACCCAGATATTTATAACTTTAACTGAATTTAACGATTGTTTTAATCTCGCTCAAATAACATGCTTCCTAACTTAATTCAATCACCTATTACTTTCAATGTATTTATCCCAGTTATCAGTTTGACACACTTCATACTTTATTATGATTAATCCAGACAATAATTTTTACTACTTAAACTCCGTTTACCTCAAAGACATTTAAAAAAAAAAATTGAAACTCAGATTAATCCTTACATTTAACACTTAAAGCTGACAACTGTCTAAATATAAAAATCTAAAATCTATTTGTGTCGCAGGCTGTCAATGGACCTGGCAGATCCTGTCTATGATTGTCGCAGGCAAATCCTGCTATTCAGAACTGGGTAAAGTGATCAGTTTCCTGGAGTTTGCTTCGCGGGAGATGATTGATGAGCTCCCCTCTAGGCGGATACTCAACACCCATCTTTGGTTGGACTACGTGCCCAGACAGGTAATTTCCCTGTTCATCGTATCCCACGTATTCTCCTTAACAAACCCCGGACAGGCCATTAATACAAACCCGAGAAAAATCATCCATATTAACCGGGGACAAGCCATACATACAAATCCGGGCCAAGCCATCAATACAAATCCGGGCCAAGCCATTCATGCAAACTCGGGACAAGCCATTCATACAAACCAGGGACAAGCCATCCATACAAACCTGGGACCTGTCATCCATACAAACCTGAGACAAGTCATCCATACAAACCTGGGACAAGTCATCCATACAAACAAAGGACAGGTCATCCATACAAACCTGGGACAAGTCATCCATACAAATCCGGGCCAAGCCATTCATACAAACCAGGGACAAGTCATCCATACAAACCTGGGACAAGTCATACATAAAAACCTGGTACAAGCCATCCATACAAACCTGGGACAAGTCATCCATACAAAGTCGTTTTTAGTTCACATTGTGTGGGGTGTAACATTATTATAGCACAAACATCAACAGATAGGGAACCCTTGAAGCCATGTGTGGGGTAACATTAGTATAGCACAAACATCAACAGACTGGGAACCCTTAAAACCATGTGTTGTGTAACATTATTATAGCACAAACATCAACAGATAGGGAACCCTTGAAGCCATGTGTGGGGTAACATTAGTATAGCACAAACATCAACAGACTGGGAACCCTTAAAACCATGTGTTGTGTAACATTATTATAGCACAAACATCAACAGATAGGGAACCCTTAAAGCCATGTGTTGTGTAACATTATTATAGCACAAACATCAACAGATAGGGAACCCTTAAAGCCATGTGTGGGGTAACATTAGTATAGCACAAACATCTACAGACTCGGAACCCTTAAAGCCATAAGTTGTGTAACATTATTATAGCACAAACATCAACAGACTTGGAACCCTTAAAGCCATGTGTTGTGTAACATTATTATAGCACAAACATCAACAGACGCGGCACCCTTAAAGCCATGTGTTGTGTAACATTATTATAGCACAAACATCAACAGACAGGGAACCATTGGAGTCATGTGTTGTGTAACATTATTATAGCACAAACATCAACAGACGGGGCACCCTTGAAGCCACATGTAGTGTAGTATTACTATATCACAAGTGTAAATAAGCGACGAACCCTTAAAGCCATATGTAGTGTAATATTGACTATAGCATAAACATACCACGCAAGCGAAAGAGCATTAAGCAGTAGTAGTAGTAATATTAGTAGTGGCATTAGCAGCAGTGGCAGTAGTCGTAGTAGTAGTAGTTGTAGTAGTTTTAGTAGTAGTAGTAGCAGTAACAGCAGCAGCAGCAGCAGTAGTAGTAGTAGTAGTAGTAGTAGTAGTAGTAGTAGTAGTAGTAGTAGTAGTAGTAGTAGTAGTAGTAGTAGTAGTAGTAGTAGTAGTAGTAGTAGTAGTAGTAGCAGTAGCAGTAGTAGAAGTAGTAGTAGTGGTAGTAATAGTGGCAGCAACAGCATTAGTAGCAGTAGTAGTAGCAGTAGTGGTGGTGGTGGTTTGTGGTGGTAGTAGTATTAGTAGATCAAGAACAAGCACGAGAATTGAAGAAGTTCATGATAATGGTGATTATAATTAGCACGTTGAAGACGACATTTTGGGCGAAAAAATAACTGCTCCTAGAATCAATCATTTAATTTCAAACAAAAAACTGTTGTCAGTGCCTGTTACTTCTGTTTCCTTTGTTACCCAGGTAACGGAGAAGAAAACAAAGATTGTGTTCACAGTCAGAAACCCAAAAGACACTGCAGTTTCGTTTTACAACCATTATAAGTCATTGATCAATCTGTATGGATACAAGGGACCATTCAACAAATGGTTTCCACTTTATATGGAAGGTCAAGGTGATAATCTTTCCTACTTTTCTGAACATAAAATTATGTTAGTGTCATCATCATCATCATCATCAACAACATCAAGTTCTGTCATTAAGCGCCGTGGTAAGCACTAGTTTGCGATCCAGTGTAAGCTGTCAGTCACTGGCTATTGTCAAGCCGTAAAGGCGTATCATGTCTTTAATGTTGTCGATCCATGTTTCGTGGCCGACCTCTTGCTCTTGAAGCCGATCTTTTGTATTGTGGTGCCTGTGATGGTATTTGACGCTGCTAGCAAGATGACCAAACAATTAGATCTGCTGTTTCTCGATAAATCTAGTACAAGTTGTCGTTCCCACACTCTGTCTAAGAGTATCATGATTCACTCGATCTCGGATTGTTAGACTGTCGGGTTTTCTAACGCATCCTATATTTTAAAGTGTAGGTTGTTTTTTTTAAATTTATATTAATATTATTATTTAGTTCATGTCATTTCAATATATTATTATATTTGTTTGCCATTCGACACTTTTTTCTTCCTCTTCTATTTTTTTACTACGCACTTAAACATAGCACGTGTCCCTTGTCATCCCCTTTACTGAAAATTTATAAGGGAAGTGCGAGACCCTTAGCCTTCAACCCCCCCAACCCCCCCCCCCCCCCCCCCCCCGTTCTGCAAAGGTAGGGCAACGATCATGTTATGCTAATGTAAGCGGGCTACGACGAATTTAACTTGATTTAGTCTGATTTACAAATGAGAAAAAGTCTGGCCAACTGGAGGTCCACTGAGTTTATAAAAAGGCTTGTAGCTTGCTGTGACCCGGCTGACAGTGGTCAGTAGCCTGGTGTTGTGGCTGCTGGTAGCACATGGCCGCATCGAGATGTAGGTGCGATTAGCCGGGCTGAGTTAGACAGTATGGCTCGTTTATTATAGCGGTGATGTATTTTATGGTTAGTTTCGTTTAAACATAAACTTTTTCTAGTGGTTTAACCGTGTGGATAGATATATATCAGTGTGTATCATCGCTCAGAGATGTTTGAATTTGTGTCGCTAGAAGCGAACTTTCATTTATGTTAGTTGGTGCTTAATGCGTGGCCTGTGTAGATACGATGTTGGTCGTTAATGTGTTGTTATTTGTGAACCATGCTGATTTTATGTTAAGTGAAATAAACAGATGCTTAATGTGTCAATGTGGTTGTGTGTGTGTGTGTGTGTGTGTGTGTGTGTGTGTGTGTGAATATGTATGTAGACGGGATACACTAATTTTTAACTGACGTGAACGAACTGTTTCAGTGGACTACGGATCCTATTTTGACTATCATCAAGAATGGGATCGAGCCATCGACAACAACCCTGACTTGCCAATCTTGATTGTTTCATACGAAGATATGAAAGAGGTTTGTTGATTCTTCTTCTTCTTCGCGTTCACCAGCTGTAGACTCTGGCGGAAAGTTCTGGTTGTTCGTCCACTTCTGAACGTCTGCTCCAGAACCTGAGTATTTCGTGTGCATCAGTTTTATAGATCTGATTCACTTGAATGCAGACTGTTGGTTCCTTGCCCCTCAGGCAGATACACTCTGACTTCAAAGGAAGCTTCCCAATTAGTCAACTCTTACGACATGCTTTTGGGTAGGCAGTGGATCTATTCTTGTTTTTCCCATAATGGGGACCCGGAACCCACACGGGGAGGTTTGTTGATTGTTTCATACGAAGATATGAAAGAGGTTTGTTGATTTTTTCATATAAAGATATGACAGAGGTTTGTTGATTGTATCATACAAAGATATGAAAGAGGTTTGTTGATTGTTTCATACAAAGATATGAAAGAGGTTTGTTGATTGTTTCATACAAAGATATAAAAACGGTTTGTTGATTGTTTCATACAAAGACATGAAAGAGGTGTGTTGATTGCTTCATGCAAAGATGTGTTGTGTGTATGTTGATATCCTAGCATCTTGGCCTAACTTCAAGTGTTGCTTTGTACTAATGTAAGAGATTCATTTGTTTGCACAAGGCTTGTAGAACTTAAAGTGAGACAATGTTTATAATTAGGATACATTCGGCTGTAACTTTATTGATCTGGGTGTCCTTGTACTTGCATCAACTGGTTGGAATTAAAATTAATCTGAGATTTTCCAGTTGCTGGGAGCTGTATTGGCTCTGTCTGTCTCTGTCTCTCTCTCTCTCTCTCTCTCTCTCTCTCTCTCTTTCTCTGTGTGTGTCTTTCTCTCTCTGCAGTGCTATTACGGACTGGACAGAAGAAACGAAACAAATGACATAATTACTGTGTGTTGGCGATAGACAGTGCGCACTGCCCTGCTATGATCAGACGATTAGGGTTAGGGTTAGGGGTAGGGTTAGGGGTAGGGGTAGGGGTAGGGTTAGGGGTAGGGTTAGGGTTAGGGTTAGGGGTAGGGTTAGGGGTAGGGTTAGGGGTAGGGTTAGGGTTAGGGGTAGGGTTACGGGTAGGGTTAGGGGTAGGGTTAGGGGTAGGGTTAGGGGTAGGGTTAGGGTTAGGGTTAGGGTTAGGGGTAGGGGTAGGGGTAGGGTTAGGGGTAGGGTTAGGGGTAGGGTTAGGGGTAGGGTTAGGGTTAGGGTTAGGGGTAGGGTTAGGGTTAGGGGTAGGGTTAGGGGTAGGGGTAGGGTTAGGGTTAGTGTTTGGGTTAGGTTTAGGGTTATGGTTAGGGTTAGGGTGTGGGTTGGGGTTACGATTAGTGTCGCCGCATCTCGTCTTCGCACAAATTCAAAGTAGCAACCCAAACCCTAACCCTAACCCTGAACCTAACCCTAGCCCTAAACCTAACCCACACCCTACCCCTAACCCTAACCAAAACCCTAAACGTATGATCATAGCAGGGCAGTGCACGCTGTCTATCGCCAACACACAGTAATTATGTCACTTGTTTTGTTCCTTCTAATCCACTCCGTAATGCGTCGCAAGAAGCGGTAATTGAACGCGGTCGCTAATTTGAGTCTCAGCGCGGGGTCTGCAGGGCATGTCAAGATCACTTTGTTTTTTGACTCATGCCTTCTCCAGTCCGTAATTGCACTGTAGCCAGGGGACAGAACTACTACTAACCGACCGTCTTATGTTGTCTATCGGCCGTAGTTAAAAGGAGAGCCGAATAATCCACCATGAACACAAATGTAACTCACTGGGAGATCCTTAAGGCCACCCAGGCCATATCTTCAATTATAAATACAATCAAAAGAGAGGTAGAGCAATACAATCTAGGTTAGAAGACCCACTAGACAATATGAAAATTGACAGTAATAGTCACCAAACCAGGATTGCAGCCTCCAGCCTCCACAGGACGACCGAGCCTACTGTATAAGGAGAGGTTCTAAATAAATGACCACACGGAACAGGTGTCATTCCTCCCTTTTGTTTTGTACCCCACCAGAACATCTCTCGAACGATAAACATCCAGTGACACAAAGTGCTATCATGCGGATGAGGATCACCTGTGAAGAGGTCCCAGAAACCTCTTTCAGCCGTTAGGCCATATTTATGTTCCGGCTATATTCAGGGCACCCGACTTTAAAAAACGAAATAGTTTATCTCCTTAGGGGACGACAAGTTACTAACAGTTGTCATCGGAAGCCCATCCCTCCTAGGAATATCACTGAAGTAACGCTTACGGATTTATAAATGCATATTATTATATATATATATATATATATATATATATATATATATATATATATATATATATATATATATATATGTATATTGTTTTTTAAGGTGAAACCTTAAGGATTCTGTGACAACATAGGTAGGTCAGTTGTAGACTTTTACCAGCACAAAACTTAGAATACCGGAGTGTTTTCTCTCCCCAACAGGACCTGCCCCGGGAGATCAGAAAGCTGTCGGAGTTTGTTGGCGCCACTTTGAGCGACCAGCAAGTGGAGTCGATTGCCCAGGCTGCACGATTTGACACCATGAAGCAAGCCTTAAATGCCAGGGTCTCACACAAACTGCTGAGGAAAGGTGCGTGTGTAACTTATTTACATAACATTGGCTACCATTAGTCTGTTATGTCATGACAGAGCTAGAAGCGGGAGTAATGGTTATCATCATTATGTGCCCTGTCGACTGGCGTAGGCGTTCATGCATCTCCGCAGATCTCGGTTCCTTGACCTCTGGATCAGTTCCATCGATGATATCCCTCCGTGTCTTTGTCGCAGTTCATCCGTCATCATATCTCTAGGTTTGACTCTCCCTCTTCTACCGTTGATCTTCCCAGAGGTCATAATATTCTCCACAGCATCCCCCCCCCTCATCACGTGACCACATGGTAGTGGTAGTAGTCGTTGAAGTATACATATCCATGCTGTTGCTATTGTTTATAACATACAATTCATAATATTCTTGATTCGCCACCATTGTATCATGTGACTGCATATCTTGTTTGGTTCTGCATCGTCGACTTTTGCCTGTCATCATGTCGTCATATGATCGACTCTTGCCTGCCCCTCTGTCGTCAAGTGATCGACTCTTGCTTGTCATCATGTCGTCATGTGATCGACTCTTGCCTGTCATCGTGTCATCATGTGATCGACTCTTCCCCGTTCGTCCTGTTATTATTTTATCGACTCTTGCTGTCGCTATGTAGTCGACTCCTATCTCGACAGTCATGAAAACCGACATGGTCTACACAGAGAATATGAAACCTGAAGTGTTGTGTGAAGTACAATCTGCCGGTGTCCTAACGACCGCATCACTGCAGCTTTGTTTGGTGCGCATAACACTGGGCTAGCACTATGTACGCATATGCACCAGAGTGGGAAAAGTAGGTTGTGGCAGCTGCTGATGGCTTGCAATGTGTCACATCCAGGGTTACAGTCCACAGGATTAACATCTACAGGATGATAATCCTACTTATGCAAATCACCTGTAAGCTCCGTTGAACCGTAGGTTTATTTTGATGAACAAAGTAGCCCGAAGCCCAGACCAGGCAGGGATGAGTAGAGCTGTTGATATAGTGTTGCCATCTTTTTTCATCAGGTGAGGTGGGAGACTGGAAGAACTGGCTGACAGTTGCACAAAGTGAGATGGTGGACGCCGCCGTTGAGCAGAAGTTGAAGGGCACCCGCTTTGTCTTTCCAAGATATACCATATAAGTTTATGAAATGCCTTTGTCATTCAAATGTGGATACGATGTATTTTGTATACTGTGTCAGATTTGTGTAAAGAAAAATCTCCTAAATAGTCAGTGTAATGTTTATATAATTATAAGAATGTCTTCTTCTTCTACTCTGCTCTTCTAGCAATGTCTGCACTAGAACCTTTGCTTTAGTTCTTGTATATATTGCTGGATTTCAGAGCTTAACTGTCAAATATACGTCTGCTTCTATATATAACTTGTTATTTACCTATCCGTTACAGGACGTTGCAGAACCAACACCAGCATTTTTTTTATGCTGTTGTGGTTTTTCTAGGTAAATTTTACTTTCAGTAGTTTGTTAGGAGACGTCTGCGTTCTGGGAGTCATGACCCAGGCCGACACATACCTCGAGATAGTCTAGGAGGATCATCGTCATCATCATAAACCACTTTTGCAATTAATGTTGTCGATCCACATTTCCGCAGCCGTTCTCTTTCTCTTGTAGCTGATCTTCTGAGATGTAGTACTTGTGATGGTATTTGATCTTGCTGCATTTTAACAAGATGGCTAAACCACTTGATCTGCTGTTTCTTGACGAATCTAGTACAAGGTGTCAATACAGCAATTTGTCTGATAATATCATTATTCACTAGATCTCGGATGGTTAGGTTGGCTGCTTTTCTCAGGCATCTCATCTCGCAGAAGGCTTCCACCGGGAAGCATCAAAACAAAAGAAGACCGAAGAAAACAAGCTCAATACGGAAAGAGACTGAGGGAAGAGATAAGAGAGACGACAGAGAAAACAACATCCACAGACACCTACCAGCCAGATCCAAAACGCAAAGTAACACAAAGGACGCCAGACAAAGATGAGAAGGAGAAAAACAACAGCAAAGATGGAAAGACGAAATTACATAAAAATCCTTGTAAGGACTAAGTACTATTACATCATAGAAGCCAATCAGAAAATGGGAATCACAAGACGACGAGCGGATAGGACAGAACTAAAATGCACTATACAGATGTCTCCTACCATAGTCAAGAACGAAAAAAGAGACACAATTAAGAAATAGAAGACCCTTGCCTCCAGATTCAACAACATCAGGTATCGAACAACTTTATACAAGGAAGAAACAACATCAGTCAAACCGTTTAGAACAACATAATCAAATGGAACCGAAGGAAACCATATTCAAGCAAATCAAACTTAATAAAGGTCGCAAATATAGGCAGCAGCTATATAGCTAAAAAGCCTGAACGTGATCAAATTATTCTTTTTGTTTTTTCAAGAAGCAAGCAGAAAAAAGTCTCTTAGCACTGTAGTCTTCGCTCTTTGGTCTGGCCAAAAGCTTTAGGGTCATGTAATGATCCAGTCGTTGCAGACATGTACAGAGTTCTAACCGCAATCTAGGTACGGCGTACTTAGCCGAAGAGAGAAAGTTGAACTGACTCACTGGTTTCAAGTTGTGTCGGCACGTTCAGTAAATACATTGTGGTATGTTGTTGTTGTGTAATGCACTATTCACATATTTATCGCCTGAGTCATAAGAAATAATTGATGGTTCCTGCAACAAAAGAACTCTTCTATTTTCTTTACTTTTCCTGTTTTTGTAAACCAACGGGAAACTATTTATTCCCCTACCCACATTTGTTTTCTCATCTTCCTACGTGTTATTTCCTTTTTATTTTTTTTTTTATTTTTGGTCTCGCTAGCTTATATATCATATATATATATATATATATATATATATATATATATATATATATATATATATATATATAATTATATAATAGCAGGGGTCTTTTATGATGAAAAAAAAAGTAGTAGTAGAACTCTTACGATTTGTTGTTACTAAATAGAACAGAGAAAATTTTACTTTTTCTATTTTTAATAAAATGGAATTTTCTTTCCAGCGTATTTGTGTTTTGTTGTTGGTTAACAAAATTTGACTGAAGTATCAACGCTTTAAAAAGCAGTTTTTGTCTTAATTATCGTCATTAGTAGCATCATCATCATGTAGGGAGCCGGTAAGCGTAGGCTGTCTTGTTTTGCCATCTTTCACGATCACCAGAATCCCGGATCAGTTCAATATTTCAGCCTCGCCTAACCCGTCTCGCCAAGCCAGACAGGCAAGTATCTCTTCCCCCCCCCCCCCCCGCCCCACCACTTCCCCTTCTTTGCCTTGCTTTCTATACATCAATCATGCCAGTTGTTACCAAGTTTTCGAAACCATTTCGTTTTCATGATAAGTCCAACTATTTCTATTGTCCACGTCTAACTGTTCTAATAAGTTGACGACTGGCATCTGTCTCGATGAGGACTGTTTCGTTTGTTTCTCTATCTGTCTTATGATAGCCCACGCCCCTCTCGTCTTGTATCTGCCCACATCTTGTACACCTGTATGGAAATGAGTTGAATGCAAATCTTAGACTTTCCTCCATAGCTAAATAGTCCTTTTTTGTACTTATGTGTCAGAATGTCAAGTTAAGTCATCAGTTTTATCCTAATTCTCTTGGGAATTGCATATATTTAAATTCAGCAAAATCGCCACCAAGATTGAAGATTCAATAGACAGATCCACCAAGATTGAAGATTCAATAGACAGATCCACCAAGATTGAAGATTCAGTAGACAGATCCACCAAGATTAAAGATTCGAGAAACAGATCTACCAAGATTCAAGATTCAAGAGACAGGGAACCTGGAGAATTTAATCCTGTGTGGGTGTACGCCAGAAGAGAGAGAGAGAGAGAGAGAGAGAGAGAGAGAGAGAGAGAGAGAGAGAGAGAGAGAGAAAGAGAGAGAGAGAGAGAGAAATAGAGAGATGCAGAGAGAGGGAGGGGAGGGGAGAAAAAGAGGGTTACAGATGAAAGACACTTGAGTGAGCAGAAAAAGAAAACGTTGCATGATTTGTTGGGGTGGTTCACAAGACGGAAAGTACTCCAACTTATCAAAGCGAAGTAAGGAAATCGTTATCATGGAATGTCATTCCGTCTTATGCATAATGATAATAATAATGATGATAACGTTGATGATGACGATGATCATTAATATAGTATTTATATTTTGACGAACACATTACATAACACCCCATTAACACTCCCCTTCTTCTACCAGGATGTTAGAACCTCGAGGTTCACTAAATTGAGGCCATCGCCCCCACCCCTCTCAACCAGGCAGTTGGAACCTCGAGGTTCACGAAATTGTGCTCCCCCTCCCCCCCCCCCCCAGCCTCCCCCTTATCCTCAGTAACTGTGTGAGGTTTTCTGAGTCCCCCCTCCCCACCCACTCTCCACTATATCCCCCCCCCCAAACCACGTAAAGACGTTCTCTTTTAAAATATGTGTTTGTATATTTCATATTATTTCAGATTTATTTTTTTTAAATCTTTTTTATTAGGCACACATAATAATAATAATAAAAATATATAAATTTTTTATTGCCCAATTAGCAGGGGTTAAGTTCATTAAACCACACCCCCCCCCCCCACCCCCACCCCCCTAAACCCCCGGTATCAATCCGCAACCTAGGATATGTCTAAGGAGCGGTGAGAGCTCCGATGTTTTCTCTGTGTCGACACCCTTGTCCCTCTCGCCATGCAGGTCTGCCTGTATTTGGGAACCCTTGTACAAAATCTACGGGTCACCTGTCCCAGCCACAGAAGCACGACAGTTTCTGACCACTTGCTAGCCAGCATTTCTGGGTGATAGACGGGGCTTCTGCAAATTGCTGTTTCGTCAGCAAGACTTTGGCCATTGAGGATATAACAATAATGATACAACAATTCGGATACAACAATGACAGACATGAGAGTGAGTGATTGCTCTAACCTTTCCACTCTTTTCCTTAACACACTGCCACGTCATCTGTTAAACTGCATGTTTGCTTAATACCACATGTTGCTGATCTATGTTTACAAAGTGCACAAGCTATGTCTTCTTCTTCTTCTTCTTCTTCTTCTTCTTCTTCTTCTTCTTCTTCTTCTTCTTCTTCTTCTTCTTCTTCTTCTTCTTCTTTTTCTTCTTCTTCTTCTTCTTCTTCTTCTTCTTCTTCTTCTTCTTCTTCTTCTTCTTCTTCTTCTTCTTCTTCTTCTTCTTCTTCTTCTTCTTCTTTATGTTGTTGCTGCTGCGGTAGCTGCTGCTACTACTACTTTCACTGCTGATGCGGTAGCTGCTGCTACTACTACTTTCACTGCTGCTGCTAATATAATTGCTACTACTACTGGCAGAATTTTCCATGCCCTGTCTACGAAGGCTTAGGTGGCTTGGTCACACCTGGAGAATGGAGGATGGCAGAGTCCCTAAGGTCATCCTTTATGGGGAATTAAAGACAGGAAGAAGATGTCGAGGCCGACCTCTGCTACTGTATAATGATGTGTGCAGCGGGACATGAGTGATACAGGTACTGAGGTGGACTCATGGGAACAAAATGCCATGGACCGTGTTGTGTGGAAAGGGCAAATCTGAAAGGAAATGAGAGTGAAGGAAGAAATGATTGCAGAAAGGATAGAGATGAGCGTCTGAAAAGAAAAGGATTAAACATAAATGTTGACAACAACGGTCTTAAAATTCCATGCTGTCATTGTGGTAGACTTTTCTTGACACGGGCGGGTCGTGCTAGTCACATGGGATGTGAGTCCCATGCCTCCTCCTAGCACAATATAACAATATCGTCTGGAAATACGGAAAGGTGCCAGTCAATCACTACTGGCAGTCCCGGTAGCACAGTTAGCTTTAAGACTCCATGTCTACCCATGTCATCCCCGAAAAACAAGGCTATATAGACATTTGTCTTCATACTTCTCTCCTGGTTCACTTGATTGAGATTCTACGTGTTGACCACCCTCGCAGGCTTCTGGGTAGCTGGTCTTGGCACATCTGTGTCTGTCTGCATGTTTTCCCTGAGGTGTCAAATATGAATTGTACAATTTCCGTGTGTGTGTGTGTGTGTGTGTGTGTGTGTGTGTGTGTGTGTGTGTGGGCCTCTGTGTATTTTTGCATGTGCGTGTGTGTGCAATGAGTGTGTATGTGTACCTGTGTGTGAGTGTGCGTGCACGCGCGTATGTGCGCAGTGTCTGTATGTGTCTGTGTGTGTGTGTGTGTGAGAGTGCTTGCATGCTCGCTGCACGGTTTTACTGGCAGGGTGTGAGCTGAAGTCATGGACATATCAATCATGGATGTTTGCATGCATATACTTGCAAATGTTACCGTCTCCAGGTGTAGATATTTAAAAAGTTATAATTGTTTCCCCTGTAACTAGACAAACACAAAAACTGTCTTCGCTTCGTAAAGGTTATCTTCACAATTGTTATACTTACTGACACAAACGTAAACTGAGTTCCGTATCTGTACATGCATTCTTGTGTTAACGTGTCCTGACACTTTAATCAGGGTACACAACAGAGCTGGGCCAAATACGTAAGTGTGTACCCAGTTCTTGAACCTTGAACATCCATTGCTGTACCCGTCGTGTGTGCACCGGCGTCATTTAGAGACCTCCAGAGAGCCACTAGCAGACACTTGAAGATACTTATAGTGAAAACTGTCTGATACTCATAGATCAGGCCTGTTGGGCTAAGTTTACTTAAAATGGGGATCGCCCCTGGTCAGAGGGCTTAGTCCCAGCATAGAGTGATCATTACTGTTTTACTGATGAAGGTTAATCACCGCAACGTCTTCGGTTTTTTTATTGTAATTGGTTTTCTGAAGTTAACAAATACTTTTTTTTTGTAACCTTTTCCTATCTCTTCTCTTCTGTATACTTTCTTATATTTTTTAGACTGTAACATTGTAAAGGTTCTAGTGTTATTAAAGTCAAAGTTGATTTTTTGTTACTGTGTTGTTTCTGTTACTTTCCGCATCCCAGACAATTTAAAAGAACTGCAGTTTGATATGTTTTTGTAAAGCAACTGGCTCAGAATAGCTAGGCTCCATAATAAATAGCAATGGGGACTGTCTGAGAGAAGTAAAACGGAGGATGGTCATAGCTATACAAATATTTAACAACATTAAAAGTCTATGGTTAAGCACCAGCAAGGAAATCAAAGTTAAAATATTGAAAGCATGCATCTTTCATGTAGCAACAGATTGGTGAGAGTAGTGGACTATCTCTTCGTCCTGGAAAGAAGAAAGAAAAAAACACTAGGGGCATTTGAGCTGAAATGCTGTAGAAATATTCTCAGAATACCATGGACAAAGAAGAGAAGACATACTCACAGCCTCCTTCTTCTTCTAAAAGATCTGAACATGGAGGAAGATTCGCTAATAAACCGCAATTTCTTTCGGAAACTGAACTATTTTAGCCAATGTCAAACGCCACAGCTGGAAAATATAACAGCAGAAAGTATGGTACCAGGAAGGAGGAGCATGGGCCGATTAACACGAAGATGGGCACAGAATTTAAGTGACTCATTGAGTATGAAAGTGCAGGAGGTGCGAGAGCATTCGGGGATGGGGGAGAGTGGGGGGGGGGGTGAGAGAAGCGGTGGGTAGATCCACTGACCGCTTACTAGCACGTGATCACAGATCACTAATTAGGTGGCGTTTCCTTTGAAGTCCTGGGTGCGTCCTGACTAAGAGGCAGGGAACCAACAGTGTGTGTATTAACTTGCTAGATATGTAAAAATAATATAAATGGACGAACAGTCCGAACTTTTTACAGTAGTAGCAGCAGCAGGAGTAATAGTAGTACATCGGCAGTAGTTGAAGTGTCAGTAGTAGCAGCAGTAATATTAGAATTAGCAGCACGAATAGTAATAGCAGCAATATGAGTTGTTGTAGTAGCAGCAGAAATTGTAGTATTAGTATTAGCAACACCAATAGTAATAGCAGTAGCAGGCGTTGTTGCAGTAGCAGCAGAAGTAGAATTTCTTATCTCCATTAGGTCAACAACAACCTATGAATTTCTTACCTCTGAGAGCTCAGAAACATCCCATGCATTTTTTATCTCTGAGAGTTCTAACAACAATCTATTAATTTCTTATCTCCGAGAGTTCAGACAACAGCCTATGAATTTCTTATCTCTGAGAGTTCAACAACAACCTGTGAATTTCTTATCTCCATGAGTTAAAACAACAACGTCTGAATTTATCTCTATAAGTTCAAACAACAACCTATGAATTTCTTATCTCTGTGAGTTCAAACAACAACCTATTAATTTCTTATCTCTGTGAGTTCAAACAACAGCCTAAGAATTTCTTATCTCAGTGAGTTCAAACAACAGCCTATTAATTTCTTATCTCTGTGAGTTCAAACAACAACCTATTAATTTCTTTTCTCTATGAGTTCAAACAACAACCTATTAATTTCTTATCTCTGTGAGTTCAAACAACAAGCTATGCATTTCTTGCTGAGACCCCAATAAAACGTGCGAGGAAGCTGCACCCCCCCCCCCCCCCCCCCCCACACACACACCAGCACTCCAGCTCAACCACGTATAGAAGTGTTCTTTCTAAGTAATTTTTCCCCTTATTTTTTCATATATTCTATTTTATATATATGTATATATATATATATATATGTATATATATATATATATATATATATATATATATATATATATATATATATATATATATATAACAAAAATAAAACTATTAAGTGTCCACACTTAACAAGGTTTACATTCCTGAAGCTGCCCCATCCGCCCACTAGACAATGTATGAGGGTGACATACGCCCAGCCTTCTTGCCGTTGAGGTCTCCCTGTGTTGGAGTTTGGGAACACGTTCACACATACCGCAGGTCCAGTGCTGCCGAAATTGAAACATTTGTACACATTTGGAACTATTTGACCCTCGCGCCTTTGTTTCAGTTTCAAAAGCCTGTATATGAATGTTCGTCCTGACAATTTGAGTTAGGTTTCCAATGTGAGCGAACATAAAAATATTTATATAAGCTTAGATAGTTGTGATAACTGGGAAAACAAAAAGAAGCAAAAAGAGCAGCTGCTTACAAGAGAAAAGTACCATTAAAATTGCTCGCAAATGATACTTATTCTTTATGGTTTGTTGCCAGTCAATACAACGCCAGTAAGGGCTTCTTTAGTATATACAGCTGTGAACTTGCTGGTAACGTAAGTGAAATTTAAAGGCATGAAACGACAGAGAAGCACGAGAAAGTTAAAACAGATGTAAACCAAGCGTCAACAGTAACTGTTTATTCGAAACCTGCATTTATTCCTTCAGCACAAATAGTTATTGAAATGTTAACTGTACCAACTAGAAGCTCCCACAACCAATTTGTAATATAGTGAGCGGGGACCGGGAGGGGGGGGGTGGTATAGCAATTATAAAACGGACAAAGAATTTCAAGTCTTGTGAAATATAAGAGAGCCGGTTTTACACAAACATTTACACGTGTGTGTGTGTGCGCGCGCGCGTGCGTGCGTGTGTGTGTGTGTGTGTGTGTGTGAGATTAAAAACATTTTCACGGCTTTTTTATTTTTAAAAATTCGTTCCTTTTGATGTGTTTTGATAATTTTTCAAAATAAAATTTTGTACCAACAAACTTCGGCAGCCCTGCGGGTCCCCTGTCGCAGCCATAGATATAGTTTGTGAACACTCGTTAGGAGTCAGTGCTGGCTGACGGGCTGTGATTCTTTTTCTTGTAGTTTTATCTGTAGATATTTCACCATGGAGGATAAACCAATGGCAGACATTTTGGTAAGTAATTATTTTAAAGTTTCAACTGTTTTCATGTTCATGTCCCATGTTTTCTGTTAAATTGTTCATTTTCTTATTACCAACTATTGCTTACATGTGATTACAAGATGCAAACGTGATGTGTTATACTACTACTACTATTGTTATTACTACTACTGCCATGGGCGCCCGCAGAAAATTTTCTAGGGGGGGGGGGGCAAAATATTTTAAGTAGTGTTTTAATGTAGTTTTAATTTACTGTAGCGTATTTGTATAGTGGACGAACGGACAGGACACTGTAGTAATGAAGGGCATACTGTAGCAAACAATTTTTTTATTAACACAATATATGTATATAACAAAAAATATTACAACATAAATTTAAAATAAAATTTATTCTTTAAACAAGAACTGGGGTCGTCTGTTATCGCTACCAAACATATCTACAATTTTGTCCATAAAGTCTTTTTTTGTTGCAGTTCATTTTGTCTCTGTGTACGCTTAACATGCACAATCCAGACAGACGTTAATCTGACATTGTAAATCTAAGCCATGTTTTTACACGACGTAATGTGATGAACGATCGCTCCACCGTACATGTTGTTTGCTGGTAATGTTAGCAAAACTAGTAAGGCATACCTGACACTCGGATAAAACTTTGTAAAAGGTAACAAGTCGATGAAATCTTGGCTACTTTTGTATTCTCGCGTTTTCCAAAAATCAAAAGACTCAAGGCTTCAGTCTCAAAATTATCAATGTGGTATACCTGATTAATAGTAGACATTATATCCTTAAACTGTTGACGATTCAGTTAGCACAATTTCAAAGGATGTAGCAACGCTAAGTTAAATTGTGCACTGTTGGCTTCACAAAATCGACTCTCCATTGAGTTCATAAAAGAATCTAAGTATGGAATGTAAACTGTTTGTCTAAAGTACTCTTCAACACTTATAGTTCCCTGATTACTTCCATGCTTTTGTCTTCCACACTGTCTTGGGATAATCAGTTCAAAATCCACTTTCTGTGCGAGTTGTACTGTTTTCTCAAAAATATCCCTGAAATAGTTATCTGAATCACCTCGGTGACGTTTTACTACACTGAGCAGGTTTTGAACTTACAGTTGGACTTCTGGAAGATCAATTGAACAGCTTGAAGAGCCTGAGTAACTGATTCCAGTATGGCAGACTACTGCGAAATAATATTGAGACAAAATAAAAACGGGCTGGACTTTGATGAACAATATAAACTGATGTGCAGCCTGTCGTGTATTTCCACTTGCATGAATGAATATTCTTCCAGTTGACAATAAATATCTTCAAATTTACTTGAAAAAATCAGAATACTTTTATACTTGCTTGTTCATCTTGTCTCACACAAAATAGGAATATTTAGGACAGAGGACCTCCTCTTTGGGCTTTCACGAAAAAATTTAATAATTGCTTTGATAGTACCAATAGTATGTCGTATCACTGCAACATTATTAAGATCATTTACTACGAGATTCAGTCTATGCGAGGCACAGTGAACAAAGGCAGCCTTGGAGTAAATACTTCGAATTTTTGCCTGAACACCATTTTCTTTTCCGGCCATTGTCGAGCACTCATCATAACCTTGACCCGGCAGATTATTAAGGAGAAGACTAATGTTTTGCAATGTTGAATAATACAATCAGATATCGTGGCGGCGTCCATAGCTTTCAGCGGAGAAAATCCAAGGAATTCCTCACGAATCATAGCCTTCTCACTAGACGTATCTACAAACCGGACTCCCAGTGATAACTGTTCTGTTCCTAAGATGTCTGATTTTTCATCGGCTATGATCGAGAATCCAACAGCATTGTTAGCAGTTTTTACAATGTCTTCTCGCAGAACTTGTTCAGACAAATTGATCAAATCATTCTGCGTTCTGTGTGACGTGTAACGTGCATTTCCAGCAGCTGTTTCAAAATGGTTCAATCAATCCGGGGGGGGGGGGGGCAGGTGCCCCCCCCCCTTGCCCCACCCCTGCTGGTGTCCATGACTACTGCTGCTGCTGTTGCTACTACTGCTGCTGCTGCTGCTACTTCTACCGCTACAACAACTACTATTACTTCGGCTACTACTGCTACTAGTACTGCTGCTGCTGTTGCTACTACTACTAATGCTGATGTTGCTGCTACTACTACTACTGCTGCTGCTGTTACTACTACTGCTACAACAACTACTATTACTTCGGCTACTACTGCTACTACTACTACCACTACTACTACTATTACCACTACTACTACTTCAGTTATCACCACAAATACTACTACTACTACTACTACTACTACCACCACCACTACTACTACTACTACTACTACTACTACTACTACTACTACTACTACTACTACTACTACTACTACTACTACTACTACTACTACTACTACTACAATCACCACTACTGCTAATCTGCCACTAATACTACTACCACCACCACCAGTACGACTACTACTACTATTTCTACTACTACTATTACTACTACTACTACTAATACTATTTCTACTACTGCTAATACTGCAACTACTACTACTAGTATTACTATCAGTAGGACTACTAATACAGTAGGGCTTTTTAAAAGGGAAAAAAAAGGTGCGGGGTACATACCACAAAGTGTCTGAAAAACTTGCCAGTACTCATCTTGTGCCGGTTCTTACCATAAAATGTCTAAAATATGTGTCAGTACTCATCTTGTTCTCTTACTTACCACAAAGTGTCTGAAAAAGGTGTCAGTACTCATCTTGTGCCGGTACTTACCACAAAATGTCTGAAATAAGTGTCAGTGCTCATTTTGTGCCGGTACATACTACAAAGTGTCTAAAATAGATGTCAGTACTCATCTTGTTCTCGTACTTACCACAAAGTGTCTAAAATAGGTGTCAGTACTCATCTTGTGCTTGTACTTACCACAAAGTGTCTAAAATATGTGTCAGTACTCATCTTGAGCTGGTACTTACCACAAAGTGTCTATAATAGGTGTCAGTACTCATTATAAAGTAACTTATTACAATAGAGCTTGAAAACGTGTGCCTAATAAAAGGTACTGGTACTGCGTGCGACTAGAAAGAAATGCCCGACCACTACAAACACTAACAATACTTTTCCTTTCAACACTACTGCAGTCCCACAAGTATAATTAGTTCCCCAAAGATCTCTATATCTTCTTCTTCTTTGCGTTCACTTGCTGTAAATTCCGGCGGACAGTTCTGGTTGCTCGTCCACCTCTGGACAGTAGACTTATTCTTTAACTTCAGTGTTACGTGCGCATCTATTTTACAGATCTGACCTATTTGTATACAGACTGTTGGTTCCTTGTCTCTCAGGCAGATGCAATCGAAGGAAGCCCCTAATTAGTCGACTCTAGCGACATGTTTGTTTGGGGTAGGAGAGAGTCTGTTTTCTGTTTTCCCCATAATGGGGCCCCAGACCCACTTAGGAAGTGGCCGAAAATAAAATGTGGAGATTGTTCTTGATATTGTGAAAAATATTTGCCATAGTTGCCATCTCTCGTTCACATGATCGATCAACGCCTTCTCTTATACACATTTGCAGTTGTACAGTCTGTGTTAATTTTTGTGAATTGTCTTCTGCTTCGCGAACACTGGCTGTCAACTCTGGCAGAAACTTCTGGTTGTTCATTTACTTCTTATGCATATTTGCAGTTGTACGGTCGGTGTTCATTTTTGTGAATTGTCTTCTGCTTTGTCAACACTGGCTGTAAACTCTGGCAGAAAATGTTGGTTGTTCATCTAATTCTGGGCTTTAGTCTTGTTCCAGACACTGTTTTGAACAACGAGATCCGGTATCTTTATGGGGAATTTATGTGTTTGATATGTGTATGTTGCACAGCATGTGCAGTTATATTGTCTTTTTTAATTTTATTTAATTACCTCTAAAATAATATACCATTCATGATACGTATGCGCGTTGTTGCATGCAGTATTAAGAAATATGTGTGATGTATTTTCTAACAGTTACCAAAACATTTACAATGATAAGGAACTGATTTCATCCAGTAAGATGAAACTGGAAATATTTGTTTGTGTGTATAAGTATTGTTAGGAAAACTGCTCTGGGTGAAAAGTTATTGCACATATCAATTTCATATTGACTGAGCTTGTTTACTAATTATTAAATAACAGTATAATTAAATGTTGTAGTAGTCTACTAATAGTAAAAATAACCATCAATCATTTAAATTTATTTAATGTTTGACAAGTGTATGTTTCACAGCAGTATTTTTTTTGCGCTAAATTTGATAAAGTACAAATGTCACCCCCCCCCCCCCACCCCCAGCTCCTCTGATGCAACAATACCCTCTCAGACTGAAAGAGTTAGCACTGATATTTCTTAACTGTTGCTGGAATAACTTTCAGTTTATATCCAAACGTTATTGATGTTTATGTTCATGTTGACTGTAGCAAAAGCATTTTGGTTTGTCTGTAAGAGCTTCTATTGTTATATTTAAATAGCACACTTATTTACCTTAAAAATGACATAGTTCTATAAAATATGTCGAAAATTAATGAAACTGTAGTTTAATTTGTGTATACATCTCCTCGATAAAAATTGTGGACACAGAGGGACTCCATTCTTGCACAAGAACCGGAATCCCCGTTGACCTGTTTGGCCTATAAATAGAGTAGGCCGTGGAACGATCTACATTTTCACAACCCGCTGGGTGAGTAGTCTGGGCTCATTCAGCAATCCCATGCGTGCTCAGTCCCCTAATGCCTCAGCCACTCCAAGGTACCTCTGCTGATTGTTACTATTAGAAGTTAGTTCTAGTGTCTCGTGTTTTGGCCTCGAAAGACTGCATTAGCATCCAGAATTCATCAGTGTCCTTCAACATAGTCCGTACAGCGACGATGATATCAACTCTGCCCGTGCTTCTTTCGGCATACATTCGTGGATTACTTGTCCGCTGGTCGGCTCTTGCATAATCGTTTACTCCTGTATGCCCAGATGTGTAGATCCAGGTGATGGAGGGTAACTGCGACTTCCGAATTCTTTCTCCCCAATCAGAATGTAGACTACCTGTTGCGATTTTCTGTAGCATGTTCATTTGAGTTGGGTAAGTTTACTACATGTGTGGCCAATTGCCTGTCCAAGCGATGTATATTCACATAAGTTATGATGGAACTGTCCCAGTATGTGTCGCAATTTAATGTGTGGTAATTTTATAGCCCCACCGCGGCTGTAGTTGTGTGGGGGGGGGGGGGCGCATATTTAACCAAACCTATGGATAAAACTGGGTTTCTATGACTTGTGACGGGAAGATCCTCATCCAAAGTGTGGCACTTTGTGTCACCGGTTGTTGGTCGCTCGTGGAACGGTCCTGGTGGGGTTGAACAACATCAAGAGCAAGCATATTCGACAGTGCCCCTGCTATTACTTTCTGCAATGATGTTCGGCGTCTGTGGCTTAGGCGCTGCGTAATGTGGCTTCGTAATGCCGGGGTGCTGGGTTCGATCCCAGCTACGGGCCTTGCACCTTGCGTTGGTTTCGACGGTGGTATCGAGAAGCTGACCGTCCAGAAAGCAATGGCAAACTACTGGACCTAAACTTGCCTAGGAAAACAACAACAGCCAAAAAATATCTTGGGGCTGGTTCTGCAACGTCCTGTAAAGGATATGCATCATCACGTAGCAGGTCCTTTGCAGAACGTTGCTCTCATCACAGTCTGCTTGAAAGCGCAGTTATGTTGGGTATGAGATAAATAACTGATAGTAGGTACCCTGGGTAGAGCAGTTATGATGCCATCATCACTTTCTTTGATGATTACTACTGCCACTGCTGCTGTTGCTGCTCCTGTTACCTCTACTACTACTATTACTACTGCTCCTGCTACTACTGCTACTGTTGCTGCTCCTGTTACCTCTACTACTACTACACTACTACAACTATTACTTACTAATACTACTGCTCCTGCTACTACTACTACTGCTACTACTACTATTACTACTACTGTCACCCCTTTTATTACTGACTGATGCTGTTACTGCTGCAGCTGTTCAGTATTATACCGCCCCCAGAACCAGTATGCTTCCTGACTGTTTTGGTTCTCTTTCAGAAATTGTTTCAGAGAGAGACTTATGGTTTCCCCCATGACAAGGTCATCCTTGATGAAGATGGCAACACTCTACAGGTTGGGGTCCTGGATGGACGACTCGTGCCCCCGTTTGGCGAGAAAAGTTTTCGGAAAATTCGAGACATGGCCATCAGAGATGACGATATCATCCTTGTGGGATACCCTAAAACAGGTACATCTTGTAAAAGGAAATGTAAATAGTCATCAAATATTGTAGCATGCTGTGCGTGTGTTACCGGGATTCCAGAAACTAAAGAATTCAACAGGGTTATCTGTCATAAAAGGATAATATTGTCTTGTCCCGCCGGGAAAAAAAGTCTAGCTCACAAATGCAACCAAGCATGAAAAAGTATAGAAAGATTATAAGGGAAGATTGTGTTGTGATTTATGTTGTGAATTCTGTTGTGACTTAAGTTAAAAAGTTATGTTGTGATTTCTTTTGTGAATTATGTTATGATGTCTGTTGTTAATTAAATCGTGAATTATGTTATCAATCAGGTTGTGATTTCTGTTGCAAAATTATGTTGTGATCTCTGTTGCAGGTTGTCACTGGACCTGGGAGGTCCTGTCGATGATTGTGGCTGGCAAAGCCGGACACTCGGTGATGGGCAAGAATGTTTGTTTCATGGAGGTGGCCCCGCTGGACTTGCTTGACCAGGTTCCATCTAGACGGATCCTCAATACTCATGTCTGGTTTGATTACTTCCCTAAACAGGTAATTTCATGCATTACAATTGCATCCCCAAGTAGTAGTAGTAATAACAGCAGCAGTAGATGTAGTAGTAGCAGCAGCAGTAGTAAGAGGAGGAGCGAGAGCAGCAGTAGTAGTATTTGATGTTGCTAATGCTTAATAATAATGGTTCAGGACTTTTTCGAAAATGACCTTGGCACCCATGTCAACCCAACCTTAAATAGGCTCGGCACCCAGGTCAACCCAACCTTAAATAGGCTTGGCACCCATGTCAACCCAACCTCAAGTAGGTACTAGAGAAGTCAACGCAGCTGGCGTGATGCTGATCTCATCACCAACCGAGAGCTGACTGATCAATAAAATATGAGTTGTTAAGTTGAGTCAAGAATTGACATCACAGCACTTGGGGCATTTCCATGTGTGCGCCATCCTCATCTTCAGCAGCCAGCGCAGAGTTCCAAAACTTAAATTACCCGTCACAATCTGGTTATATGTCCGTCTTGCCTTTCTTATGAGTGTAGTGAGCCAGCCAGACCCTCTGGTGACACCCAGATGCCTCATTCTCTCCAACAACAAGCATATCTCCAACAACAATATGCCTGTAAGCATGGAAAAAGCTTCTCTACTTTTTACAGAAGAACAATTGCTACAACAGCAATAGTAAACACTGTTTGCAATAATGATTGTGATAACCATGTTAAAAAAAAGCCCTACTATTAGTTCCCTCTGCCATGGCAAGCTCTCAGAGCTTCTGTAAATTTCAAGAAGAGTGATTCTAGTTTCATTCTAACACCTATTCTTTGTTTCAATCAGGTAACGGAGAAGAAAACAAAGATTGTGTTCACAGTGAGAAATCCAAAAGATACAGCAGTTTCGTATTACAATCATCACATTTCGTTGTTCCAAGGACAAAGATACAATGGACCATTCAATAAATGGTTTCCACTTTTTATGGAAGGCCAATGTGAGAATTTTAATCATCAATATTTTGTAAAATGTTGTTAATTTGTAATACTATTTATTATGATTGTAGCTTTAAAAGTAGTGTAAGCAACAGTAGCAATAACAGCAGCAACAGCAGTTCTCTTAAATTTTCCACTGAAAGGGCGGTTGGCATGTTGTGATGTGGTTTACAACTAGACTGTGATATCTGCATCTTTTGGCCCAGCCCATCCGATTTGAGCAAACGATTAGTCATCTACCACCTGCTTGTTAGTGAGGCAGGAGTCTTTTCTCCCCCACCCTCAGTGTAGCCAAAGCACCCACACAGAAACTTGTAGCAGCCACAGCACCCATACAGGAACTTGTAGCAGCCACAGCACCCACACAGGAATGTGTCACAGCCATAGCACCCCCACGGAAACTTGTCACAGCTACAGCACCCACACAGGAACTTGTAGCAGCCACAACACCCACATAGGAAATTATAGCAGCCACAGCACCAATACAGGAGCTTGTAGCAGCCACAGCACCCTCATAGGAACTTGTCGCAGCCACACAGGAACTTGCAGCAGCTACAGCACCCAGTGGAACATGTAGCAGCCACAGCAGCCACACGGGAACTTGTAGCAGCCACAACACCCATACGGAAACATGTAGCAGCCACAGCACCCACACGGGAACATGTAGCAGCCACACGGAAACTTGCAGCAGCCACAGCACCCACACGGGAACATGTAGCAGCCACAGCACCCACACAGGAACATGTAGCAGCCACAGCACCCAGACGGAAACATGTAGCAGCCACAGCACCCACACGGGAACATGTAGCAGCCACAGCACCCACACAGGAACATGTAGCAGCCACAGCACCCACACAGGAACATGTAGCAGCCACAGCACCCGCACAGGAACATGTAGCAGCCACAGCACCCACACAGAACATGTAGCAGCCACAGCACCCACACGGGAACATGTAGCAGTCACAGCACCCACACAGGAACATGTAGCAGCCACAGCACCCACACAGGAACATGTAGCAGCCACAGCACCCACACAGGAACATGTAGCAGCCACAGCACCCACACGGGAACATGTAGCAGCCACAGCACCCACACAGAAACATGTAGCAGCCACAGCACCCACACGGGAACATGTAGCAGTCACAGCACCCACACGGGAACATGTAGCAGCCACAGCACCCACACAGGAACATGTAGCAGCCACAGCACCCACACGGGAACATGTAGCAGCCACAGCAGCCACACGGAAACTTGCAGCAGCCACAGCACCCACACAGGAACATGTAGCAGCCACAGCACCCACACAGGAACATGTAGCAGCCACAGCACCCACACAGGAACATGTAGCAGCCACAGCACCCACACAGGAACATGTAGCAGCAGCATTGTATTTATTATATAGTAAAGTAAAGGATCCTTGTTCATGCCTTCAGGTGTATTGGGCATATAGGGCTAGACCTATATTTTATAGACCAACTGGCTCTCAGTGGATGATGAGGTCAGCATTACGCCAGTCGCCTTTACTTCCTAGGACTTGACCTGATACCCACTCAAGGCTGGATCGACCTGGGAGCCAAGATGGTTTAAAAAAAAAAAAAGTCTAGCTCCGTCAAGACCTGAACCCACGACCTTCAGGCGAGTGTTTAGCTGCTACACCACGACGGCTTCCTTATATATAAGTAGTATATAAGGATAAAATCTACCCCATCTGTAGAGTGTAGCTCCTCTGAGCTATAGTAATAAGCCACCACTATAGGAAGAGAGGAAAATATTGGCCGCTGAACAGTCTAATGAATAAAAAAAAATGATTACAGCAGCCAGATGGTCTAAGCAAGGGAACAATTTGCAGTTTTTGTTGTTGTTGGTACTTTAGTGATATCCAACCACAAACAGGGGAAATCCACAGGTCAGGGAACAGTCTAAAATTTCAAGCAGTGCTAGATGAGGGTAGCAATTTAGCATTCCATTTGCCTCGTGTGGGTGTGTGGGGGTGTGTGTGTGTATTTTTTTTTTTTTTTTTGTGGACTCTTGTGCAGTTGCTACATTCCACAGTTGTATTATTCGATATACCCGGCTCCGCTTGGCAAAATTCAATGCCTGTCAACTTGTGAGACCAGTAGTACAGGGACATAATGATCTTCCAGCCATGTTCCTTGCCTTAACAGTATTTCAAATGACAGGTTGACTTTCCATACTGCCATTGATTGTGGCAGCAATAATAACATTTTGGTCATGATGTTGCAGGAAAGCAATGCTGCTCTTCTTGTCAGGCACTGATGCTGTTAATTCAAGGAATTTCATGGCGACTGAACACAAGCTGCTGTAGAGACGCAGCCAGAAGAAGAAACGTGCGAAAACATTGACCTCACCTTGGAAGACACACAGACAGCCAAGAAACAAAAAACACAGACAGCCAGGAAACAAAAATACACAGCTGGGTTGGGAAACCTAGTCTCACCACCTTTGAAAATACTGGACTGTCCATTGACGTCATATGTGGTGGGTTATTAGGAAAACCCCTTTTCTTTTTTTAATCTACGTGTCCTATGACTAAGCCTCACCTGAGCCACAAGATGATCCAGATTTTAAAAATGCCAAATTTTTGGCTTCCTTAGACCATCTGGCGGTTGTAAATTGTTTTTTAATTCATTAGTCTATTCAGCGGCTAAATAGTTTCCTCTTTTTCTGTAGTGGTAGCTTATTACTGTAGGGGGTCCAGCTCGCTAGCGTTGTTAGCTAAAGCTGACTTCGCGGAGACCGGATGACGAACTCCTTGTGGTCCAGATTCATGCCCGGGGGTAGGCAGAAAAGCCACATTTCTCCCATATTTATGGTACCTATCATAGAATCAAAATCAAAGGGTTGCGATATCCATAGTATCGAGCCAAAGGGTTTATAACTCATGGTTTCTAGATACTTTGAAGAAAAAAAAAAGATTACAATAGTGCAAAGAGTGGCCACACCCTAAAAAATGGGGTAGATTTTGTCCTTATATACTACTTAGCGTTTTATGTGTGTGTGTGTGTATATATATATATATATATATATAGTGTTACATGGTAGTAACTAAGACAGACCGTAACATTTCTCTCCTTACGTCTCTTCATGAATTCTGTTTCAGTGGACTATGGTTCCTATTTTGACTATCATCAAGAATGGGATCAAGTTATCAAAAACAACCCAGGCTTGCCAATCTTGATTGTTTCATACGAAGATATGAAAGAGGTTTGTTATCTTCATGCTGTCTGTATGTGATACTCTACCAAGCAGTATGCTTATGAACAGAGAGACACGCACAGAAACTACAGGGGGACCTCTGTGGCTAAGTGGTCAAGCCATATGTCGTGCTCTCTGAAGATCATGAGTTCGTTTCATGGTGGCGGCGTTGGATTCACATGTACTGTTTTACGTAGATTCCTTTGGAACATCGCCAGAGCTATGAAAATCCTGCTCCTTGTGAGGTTCTCGAAGAGCGGACAGACCGGCTACAATGGATAAAACCCAGTTCAATAAACGTCTCAACTTTAATTCTAGACAAATACACAAAAGCGTTAACTGTAAATGCAAACAGAAGGAACTTTTCAAGGGCTGCATACCTTAGGCATCCTAGCAATAAGTAGAAAAGTTTGCCATCAATAAGTGCTAGAACCACTGATGATTATTATCTATCATCATACACAAACTATTAGACAATTAATAACATCTTTAGGATATATTCTATAAACAAAAGACCAGTCGTTTTATATCTCTCTGAAATTTGGAGCACAATTAAAAGGGATGAAGCCTTATTACAGGTTTTCAAAAAGTATTACAACAAATCTTTGGACCCATCAAAGATGCAAACAGTGGAGAATGGAAAGTGAGAAGCAACAACCAAATTCGAAATCCGTTTAAATCATCATTGATTCGTGGCATTATGAGAGCTAATAGACTAAAATGGTTGCGGCAGATTGAAAGAATGTCAAATGACAAAGAAGTAACAATTGTTCACACAAGGGAGACGAATGGTCATAGACCACGAGGCAGACCAAGAAGATGACGGAGAGATAATGTCCAGACAGACCTGCAAACACTTGGTGTCACCAACTGGAAAGAGAAGACCAACCAGAGAGATGAATGGAGGCGGGTGATATCTGCAGCAATGAACCTCAAGGGCTCGGAATGCTGAAGAAGAAGAAGAAGAAGAAGAAGAAGAAGAAAAAAAGAAGAAGAAGAAGAAGAAGAAGAAGAAGAAGAAGAAGAAGAAGAAGAAGAAGAAGAAGAAGGAGAAGAAGAAGAAGAGAAAAAGAAGAAGAAAAAGAAGAAGAAGAAGAAGAAAAAGAAGAAGAAAAAGAAGAAGAAAAAGAAGAAGAAGAAGAAGAAGAAGAAGAAGAAGAAGAAGAAGAAGAAGAAGAAGAAGAAGAAGAAGAAGAAGAAGAAGAAGAAGAAATAAGAAGAAGAAGAAAATAAAATCTAGGGAGCTTTTGTTAATCAAAATCACATTGCACAGACAAGACTACAAAAGTAACAAAATTACACTGCAAAGACAAGACTATACAAAGGTAACAAAATCACTTTGCACAGACAGGACTTTTTAAAAAGGTAACAAAATCACATTGTACAGGTAAGACTATACAAAAGTAACAAAATCACATTGCACAGACAAGACTATACAAAAGTAACAAAATCATGTCTGCGAATCTCTAGGAAGTGATGGTCTTTAGATGTAAATAGATTTCAGACATTACTTCCTAGTAATTACTTACCATTCACCAGCTATTAGCTCAGACAGACAGAGATGTTCGTCCATTTCTAAAATTCAGCTTTGTTCCAGAACACGAGTGTTAAGTGCACATCTATTTTACAGATCTGGCTTATTTGTATGTATTTTACAGATCTGGCTTATTTGTATGCAGACAATTGAATCTTTGCATCTCAAGCAAATGAACTCTGACTTCGAATGAAACGTTCGATTCTACATTGGCCAGGCTTCCAGTTGGGGACCTATTTCTTGGATGACGACACAGAGGTCCCTTTATAAATGTCCCTGCATGGTACTATTCTAGCACTATTAAAAAATCAAAGAATCCAGAAGTGGTGAGTCACAAATGATTGGGCTGGAATTTGTCCCTATTTTAGTGTACCTGTTTAAATCAACAACACAGTTGGTTAATTTTGCAGGGATGTTTGTTGTACGAGAAAGTCCACTTTTTTCTTTAGAAGGGTTTATGGTCATGTAGACGTGGTTTTAAATCCTACAGTGCCCAGTTTAGAGTTTGACAGGTTGATTTGACTGATTTTATTTTATTCAAGAACCGACATCACAGCACTCGGGGCATTCCCATAAGCGCTCCATCCCCATCTTCAGCAGCCAGCGAAGAGTTCCGATACTAATGGTGCCAGTAGCATTCTGATTAAATGTCCGTCTTGTCTTTCCTCTGAGCCTCGAGCATCTGCCAGAACCTCTCGTCACTCCCCGCTGCATCAGTCTCACCAGACTGTGGTGATCATCTGCTCCTCCGAACTGTACACGCTCTCCCACAAGGCACTAACTACGTTAGTACGTATTATGTATCAGTATTCCACCAAGTTTGACAGATTTAAACTGTCTAGTTTCCTCGTGTGGAATCCGGGGCTCCTTTGAGGAACAAGTTGTTGTCCTGGTTGTCCCAACTGATGACTTTAATCACATATCTAACAGGACCTGCCCCGGGAGATCAGAAAACTGGCAGAGTTCGTTGGCTCAACTTTGAGCGACCAGCAGGTAGAGGAGATTGCCCAGGCTGCAGGATTTGAGACCATGAAGAAAGCTCTGGAAGCCAGCGTCTCGCACAGATTGCTGAGAAAAGGTGAGTACATGATTTGAAGTGATGGTCTTACCACCACCCAGTTTAGACCAGTGGGTGGACAACTTTTTCCCCTCTCTGCTCAAGTCCTTTACAAAACATCACTCTGGGAGCCGCGTTAGCGCAGTCGATAAGAAGCTCGCTTTCAAATCCAGCTGCGACTCGCTCCAGCCCATGGTCGGTGTTCGAAACTGGGCGGCTCCCGGGGTTCACCCAGCCTCTAGGAAATGGGTACCAGAGTTGATACTCTGGGGTAAATGGAGGAACGCCGCTGTAGCTACAGAGTTATGTGCAGAAGGGGACACGGGCGGTCAGTTTCTTATCAGCTGTCCGTACTGGTGGCAGATCACTTATGGTTTATAACCGTGTGCAATGACGCTGGTTCACATCTCCCGACTTTACCTCACTCTGCTCATGGCAAGTCTGAAAGTGTCTCCGTCTTTAGCCAATTCTCCAGCCCTGTGTGCTAACATAGCCAATACATCTTCCATGCCATCTTCGAGAAGGTCTGCCTATGCCTCATTTTCCTAAACCTATCCTCCACCCCTGTTCTCTCCAGGCCACCGTGACATTCAACATGGCCAAATAAATCAGCTTGAATATTTATAACATAATACACTGGGGATCTCCAGGGGTTAGCTTCATGAAATCGCCGTTCAGTCAGTGAGTGCAAATTTCAAGGAAATCCCTGGAATCTCGGAGTTGGCGCTCCATGTGATGATCTCATCAGGCAGCCAGCGGTTTCACAAAGACCAAGCCATGTGTGAACTGAAGTGGGTTCTGTTGATGTTAACTGTGACTGCTTTTTCCTTGGGGAAGTTTGTGATGTTGGCTGGTATTGATCATATTGCACTCACAACTGCATTTCCGTGATCAGTGAGGGCCATGAAGCTAATGCTGGCCATGGGCTGGACAATCGCCACCAGTGATCAGTTAATTAGTTGGGTTATCATCATTGCACTCCAGGTGTGTCCATAAGTGCTTAGATCCTCCCCTCAGTATGAACCCCAGCGTCCAATGGCTAATTGTACCAGTTCTAAGTTGATTAACAGGTCCTCTCATGTGCGTCTCGTTTTCTGCTATAGCGATCTTAACTCCCGAATATCTTTCTGGCGAGTGATGTGGATTCATTGCCCACAAAGTCCTCCACCCTTCCCATTTCTCAAAGCGGGCAATAATAATATCAACATGATCCATACGTTGACCGTTGGTAGTCATAGCAGATCAGGACAACCTATAGCCCTTTCATTTCCATCGATGCCTGTGTTTCCCAGAACGAAAATAAAAGTGACTCCACGCACATGGACTTCTGTAGTGACTCAAGCCACTGCCTTCGCACCGAATCTGCCTGAACCCTCCGGATTATGCTCACTGAATCGCTGAGTAGGCATGCATGAGTGTAGTTTTGTGTTTCTAGCCTCGCGAATGCTTGCTGCTGGTTGTCATTGAGAGGGCACTTTGGCTTCTCTGACTGTTCTGCCAGCTGAGTGTGCTGTAAACGCCCATGCGCTTCTTTGTTGTTGTCGCATACCTGATCCATCCATATAGATCAGTACATCTGCCTCGTCTGAAATTTCACTGGTGATAGCATTGACTTCTGCATTGACAGCAACAGGATTTTTCTCCCTGCATCGCCTGTCTATTGTGACAAAACAGTTGCTAGTACCATCATTATAGGAACTCTTAACTTGCTTCTAAAGATGGGGACAATTTTGAAAGTTGTCTTGGAATACTCTCAGAAAGAAAGGTGAAGAGGAAAAGAACTGAGGACTTCATCTCTAATATCATGACCTAGAATATGTCAAGGTCTGACACTTCACAACTCAACAACTAACCTGGCCTAGCCATAAACAGTTACTGGGTATCATTTAAGGACGTTGCTAAACGAACCTGCTCATTTTTTGGCTCCTTTAATCTCACTAGTAAATTTTACGTTCAGTAGTTTCCCATTGCTTTACTCAAAGGTCGGCTTTCAATACCGCTGTTGAAACAAATGATAGGTGGTCTGCTACCAAATCACCTGCAGCTGGAATTGAATATGGCACCTCAGAAATATCTTGTCCTTACTTCTTACCCCAAAGAGACTGTAACATGTTTGATTTTTGTAGACACAGAGTGCCCCTTTGTCAGGACCCAACCCAGCACCTACACCTCACACCAGCAGAGACTGTACTGTCTCAACTCCTCCCCAGATAAAAAAACTACCACAAGTATAACCAGTTTTCCCAGGAAGCTTGGTGAGTTTGGTTTTTCTGAAAATGAATGAAAGAACAAAGACTCACAGTGACAATCTCATCGGCCCTACACAGTCCATCCACTAGCTGGAGATTTAAATTAATGCTGTTAGCTTTTCATGACTGCTGTTTTTTCTGTCTTTCCACCATCAGGTCAGGTGGGAGACTGGAAGAACTGGCTGACCGTTGCCCAGAGTGAGATGGTGGACGCCGCCGTTGAGGAGAAATTGAAAGGCACACGGTTTGCCTCACCAAGATATACTATATAAGTTCATGCAATTTTTTTGCTCTAAAATATACCATTTACATTTAAATTTATATCTTAAATATACCAAAACTATTCATGTATGATGGCATAGAACCAGAATGCAAGGCAAAGCCTACATTGTGAGGTCTGTCCCATGACACCTGATGGTTGTGAGTCATCGACTCTCATTCAGTCTTTGCAGGAGAAAAATGGAGCTTCTGAACTGAAATGCTACAGCAAACATTGTTACAAAACTGTGGAGCAAGAAGAAGGAAAATGTTGACGCCCTGCATGACTTGAATATCAAGGAATACTGGCTGGTAAACAGCTGGCGTATTTGAGACATGTCAAGTGCCATGGTGGTCCGGAGAGAATGGTGATGGAAACAAAGCCAAGAGTCCAACCACCTCAAACGTGGATAAAAGATATTAAAGATGCATTAGTTTTGGAAGCACAAGGGGCTGGAGAACCAGCTAGAGAAAGAGAGGCTTTTTGGCGTGTCATAAAGAGAGTTGACATTCTGTAAAGGACATGCTGTTGGATTGATGGATTACTTGTAATGTACTTCTGGATAAACCTGGTCTGGTTATGTCATTTGACTTTGAATAAAGACTTCCAGTACTATAAGGTGTCAACTGTAGTGCAAGTATATGTCTCCTACTTCCCTCCCTCCCACACAAGCTTCAGGCACACCGTATGTCCACTCCCTATTCCACAACTCCCTTCAGAATGTGACAACCTTTTTGCTCCTCTGCATTGCCCATGTTCTCTCAAACGGCTGGCCCAGGTTACAACTCAACAAGCTAATTCTCCATCAAACATTACCAACATAATACAAACAGCTACTGTCTGTGTGAATCAAACAATGTGTAATGTGTTAGTAGATATTTCAGATTTTATCTGAGCATACTGATAAATCTGGTGCAATTCATTTTAACATGTGTCATTATAAACACCTCACTGGGGCTCAAAGACAGACAACACTAGAAACTGTTTGGCTGGTGTTTACCAGGATCGACAGGCCATTTTCCTAACATGAATCTCTCAGTCTGTGTATGTTTGTCCGTAATTGTTCTTACCCCATCATGTGTTTAATGTAACACAACATAAGTTAGTTGTGTATCCTTTACATGACATTGCAGAACCAACCCCAGCATTTTTTGGCTGTTGTGGTTTTTCTAGGCAAGTTTACGTCTAGTAGTTTGCCACTGCTTTCTGGACGGTTGGCTTCTCGATACCACTGTCAAAACCAACGCAAGGCCCGCAGCTGGGATCAAACCAGGCACACCGGCATTACAAAGCGTGTTCGTAACGCCTAAGCCACAGACGCCAACTCCTAGCTGTAAACTACAATATAATAAGCTAACTGCCCATTTATGGGTGAATGCAAAAGTAATAGTAGTTCCTTTAGTACTTTGTAATGGCTTTACAATTGTGTGTACCTCAAATGTTTTCAGAGACATTATGAACTACCCATACCAAGCATATGGTTAATAAACTATTTCAAACAGCCCACACAAATAACCTGAAGCTGGGTTGTCCTTTTAATGAAATCAACAAAGAAATTAAAATGAACACAAGCAAAATAATCACAGTTCAGATTTCACAGAACAAACATGGTTTTAGTGTGTGACACAATCAATTCTCTTGGATATTTGTGGCAACTGGTTCAATCTATAGACTGCTACAAGCTGATGGGACAATTTGAATAGTGCCAGGATGGCACAAGAACAGAACCAATCCAAGGTTGAGAGTTTCAATCAGTTGTGCCTCTTTTGTTCTCTACTGTGTCCACTGATATTTGCTTCTACCTTCTTATTTCTGAGAGTGCAAACTATAACCTATGAACTAACCATGCAAAATACCCAAAATGTGAAAAACCATTCATGTAGATGTGGAAGATCAGGGAAAACCTCCACTTGATTTCCCCATAAATAAGTTGATGAACATTCTTTATGATTGCTTCACAAAGATATTTTTAAAAATAAATGCCCAATCAGTGTGCAGACTGTGTAAATCAATGTAATTAATCTGCCAATCAACAACATAAAGCTTCATCAGCCAATATTTTGAACTGATGTCAGCTGATATTTCATGTCACCCCAATCTTACCCAGTAAAACCTGGCGGCAGTCTGATATTCTCTTTTCCCAATGCTGCTGTGCTAGCCTCCAGCTTTCTATCACCAGAACCTACACTACTAACCACACAGTCCACCCGTCCAGCATCACTCACTCTGCAGGTATTCGTTGTAACACTACTACCAGCAGCAACATTTTGTGCATGGTTATAAGTTAAGGTATTCAAATCATTCAAATATGCATTGCTGAAATTCCCAGCGTATGGGCCATATAGACTTAGCAGACTAGGATTCAAACCCACACCAATGTGGTTGCTAGCAAGCAAATTGCTACTCAGTAATGAAGTGACCATGTAGCTACTAAGAAGAGCCGAAGACAGGTCTGTCAAACTGGCAAAAGGTCTTGCATTCAATGACAGGTCGGTTAAACTGGCAGGAGGTCTTGCATTCAATGACAGGTCTGTCAAACTGGCAGGAGGTCTTGCATTCAAAGATAGGTCTGTTAAACTGGCAGGCGGTCTTGCATTCAATGACAGGTCTGTCAAACTGGCAGGAGGTCTTACATTCAATGACAGGTCTGTCAAACTGGCAGGCGGTCTTGCATTCAATGACAGGTCTGTAAAACTGGCAGGCGGTCTTGCATCCAGTGTGGTTGAGGTAGTTTCTGAAAGAATGATCTTGCTCTGTGTCGCAGAACAACTGTCCCCTCTGGCTGGCTTAAGGCTATGATGAGGAGACGTTCCTGCTGGAAATGATGCCTTATCTCTTGGGGTATTTTCAGCAACACCTGCTGGCTGGGCAGTTGGAATCTGTACAGATGAATGATTTCTGGCTCCTTGACTCTTCTTAGGGAACTTTAAAGGAGGAACTTTCTTTAAAGGTTTCACAAAAGACACTGGGATGGGTGTTCGCTCTATCTTGTATGGGGGATTACTAACACCAATATCTGTCTGGTCACCATTGTGAGAAACACCACTATCTCTGCCAGCACTCGTGACAGAACCACATTTATCTATGCAAAAAATTTCATTATCCATGTGTATATTTCTGCTAGAAACACCATAATTTATCTGTATATCTCTGCTAAAAACACCATTATTTATTTGAATATCTCTGCTGGAAACACCATCATTTATCTGTATATCTCTGCTGGAAACACCATCATTTCTATGAATGTCTCTGCTAGAAGCAGCATTATTCCTCTGATTGCCACAGCTAGAAACCTGATGTTTGAGATCGATGATATGTGAAACACTCCTATCTCTGTCACCAGTTGTCAAAGAAACACCTTCATCTCTGCACCCACTCCAACAAGTCACCACATCTCCGTGATTACCTCTGTAGGATATCCCATCACATTTGTGACTACTCTTGCAAGAATCACCGCAGTCTTTGTGATCACTGCTGTAAGACTCACCAGCACACCTGTGAGAAACACCACCGGCACTGAAGTCTGTACAATCATCCCTGTGAAAAACATCATCTCTGTTTTCACCCCTTCTAGAAACGCCACCACTTTTGTAACAAACACCTTTACTTTCTGCTACCAGTCTTAAAGAACATTCACTTTGCCACAGCACATCAGAGTTAACACTCTTCTCCTCCAAACTAGAACAGGAAGTAGTAATATGCAAATCTTCCTTGTCACTAACTGACACCTTTGAACGCCGACCTTGTCCAGTAAGATTCAGTGCCCCCATCTCTGTGTTCTCCAATTTCCTTCTGTTCAAACGCTCTGAAGGTTTATGGTGATTGTCTCCCTTTCCTTCAAACCTGATGGAACTATCCGGGTGACCAGAAGTGTGTGCATGTGGTACACAATGACTTATATGTGCTATTGTCTCACAACCTCTGGAACCCTGCGCCTTGTAGCCACTCCTTATATTTTGCTTTGTACTTTTATATAGTCTGTCAACTTTAGATTCAAATTTCTCAGGACTTCCAGTCAAAGCAGCTGGTGTTTCCCTGTGGGTATCGGTGTTTTTACTCGCAGTTACAGATATACCAAGTTCCTTAGCTTTCTCTTCCTTAAATATCTCCAGTATTGACTTTAAATGTGTATCTTTCTTTGACTCAGTTTTAACGGGCCACTCCACTTCATGGCAACCTCCCTGTGACCTTTCCTTCAAAATCCTTCTCTGCTCCTGTTCTATCATATTTTGCCGCTCGTGTTTTTCTTTTATTTTATTCTCATAATACTTCCTGCGTGGGGCTGCCTGTTTGTCATACTCAGCCAGGTGCTCATATTTTATCTTGTACCTCTCATAGTAGTAAATATCCATTTCTTCATCCCAATTCTCTTCCTCCTCTTCGTCAAACCCCACATAGTACTTTCTTAACTCAGCGTTGTTATATGCTGAATGAGCCTTTTGTGCTCTAGTGTTATTACTGCTATCATCTTCTATGTTATCACATCCCATAACTTGTGAGTAACTGTTTTTATGCAACTGTGCGCCTTTAGAAAATCTGCTTTTACTATAAAATGATTCAGCTTCATCTTCAGAGTCAAAGCTAGCAAAAGATATCGGCTTTATCGTCTTCATATTTTCTGGATCATCCCCGGAAAATACATAATTACACTCTGGCCTAGAGGGTTGGACAAACTGGCAATATGAGTCTGCCTCCTCATCGTCCTTAGATCCAGCCTCCGAAGTGACACCAGCTCCACGCGTCCCCTGCCCGGTTGTAGAAGAATTCACCCCATCCTCAGCATTCTTTTCTCCAGCAGCATGGAGATTCCTGTCTGCCCGTTCTCTGTCCTCCCCATGCCTGCTGTGATGATGCCACTGCTGCTGCTGCTGACGATGCTGCTGCGGCCTTTCGTGCCTAACATGTGATCTCTCAGAATAACCAGCATATCTACCTCGCCCCTCCTGGAACTTGCCTCTCTCCTTCGGCCCCGCTCCTGATCCTCTGCTGCGATGGCTACTGCTACCTCTCTGA